AAATTAGCCAGGCATGGTGGTGCATGCCTGTAGTCCCAGCTACTCGGGAGGCTGAGGCGGGAAAATCAATTGAACTCAGGAGGCAGAGGTTGCAGTGAGCCGAGATTGTGCCACTGCACTCCAGCCTGGATGACAGAGCGAGATTCTGCCTTTAAAAAAAAAAAAAAAGAGAAACCATAGGGGGTTAAAGTGGGTTTTTCTTGTTGTCTTCTGTTCCAGTGTAGGATCACAGTGTTGTAACCCAGCGAGTTGTAGAAAACACCACACACTGAGACTAATTCAGGAGTCCTTTATTGCCGGCGACCGAGAGACGGCTAGAGCTCAAAATTCGCTCGGCCCTGAAGAAGGGGCTAGATTTCTTTCTATACCTTGGTCTAAATAGGGGAGGGGGAGTCTAGCTGAAGCAATTTTTACAGAAGCAGAACAGGCAAAAAGTTAAAAGATAAATGGTTACAGAAACAGTTACCGGAAAATAAACAGTTCCAGGTGCACGGGTTTAAACTATCACAAAGTGATCAATGCAGGGGCTTTGGGTGCCATCAACTGAGCACGTTCCTAGGAGCTGCTGGTACAGCTTGCCTCAGTATCTTATCAGCAAGTGCATTCCTGGATGTGCTTGGAGTCAGCCTGCACTAGTTATGCCCTTAAGGGAGGGGGTTAAGGGGGGCTGCAAGTGAAGGAACCAAAATGAAGTCTGTCCGGCTCTCTCAGCTAAGACAGAGTCAGTCAGGTTAAAACAAGGTAGGGCATCACAACAGAACTGGTTGAGCCAGATTACCAAGCACTGATCTCAGATTTTACAACAGTGATGTTATTATCCCCAGGAGCAATTTGGGGAGGATCAGAATCTTGCAGCCTCCAGCTGCATGGCTCCTAAACCATAATTTCTAATCTTGTAGCTAATTTGTTAGTCCTACAAAGGCAGACTGGTCCCTAGGCAAGAAGGGTTTTGTTTTGGGAAAGAGCTGTTATCATCTTTTTTTCAAAGTTAAACTATAAAGGGCTGTTACAAAGTTAAATTATAAACTAAGTTCCTCCCAAAATTAGTTCAGCCAATTCCTGGGAATGAGCAAGGACAGCTTAGAGGTTAGAAGCAAGATGGAGTTGGTTAGGTCAGATCTCTTTCACGCTAATCGTTTTCACTGTTAATTTTTGCAAAAGCAGTTTCAATTGGACTGGGAGAGATAAAAGAGGAAGGCAGGAAATGAATGCACAGGGCCATAGTAGGGGTGCAGGCAAGAGAAGAGGGTGGCTGTGGTGGTGCAGAGAAGCGGGTAGTCAGGATTTGCTTCTGATGTACAGCCAGCAGGACCTGTGGGCAGACCAGCTGCAAGCCGTGGGAAGGAAGAAGCACCAATGACACTTGCTGGGTTTAAGATGGAAGAAGACTGGGCAGCCAGGCAAGTTGGTGGGGAAAGCAAGAGTGCTTTTGGCCACACTGCATCTAAGAAGACAAGCTGCAATGCAAGGGCAGAATGCTGAGGAGGCATCCCGGATGGAGGAGTGTAGCGCTCAGAGGAGAGAGAAGAGAAGCAGCTGAAGGGAAATGTGCTGGGAGGAGGGGGAGTGTGTGAGGGTGGGCAGGTGGGTGAGTGAGCACCCTTGCACACATATTGGATTTCATTTTCACATTTTCCCTCTTTCTGCTTTACTAGTGAGTGACCTAGAAACATATACAACTATGTAAAAAACAAAACAAAACAAAACTTCTATATGGTGTAGTGGCATTTCTCCTATGCCATGGTGTTGTTGTGAAGATTAAATTAATACATGTTAAGATGCTTAGAAAAGTGCCTGGCACATATACAGTGCTCATTGCATATTATTTTTATTTCAATTCAAATGGAAAAAGACTAGTTTACCTAGCAAGGGGCTTTTGCATAACTTACTATCCATTTTGAAAAAATGTCAGATGCTCTTACCTTTAATTGAAAATACATTTAATATTAAATATGTGCATGGAAGAAATCATACTAGAAAAGTATGAGAAAAACATCTGATTGGCCTGGCACAGTGGCTCACGCCTGTAATCCCAGCACTTTGGGAGGCTGAGGCAGGTGGATCACGTGTTCAGGAGATCGAGACCATCCTGGCCAACATGGTGACACCCTGTCTCTACTAAAAATACAAAAATTAGCTGGGCATGGTGGCACATGCCTGTTATCCCACCTACTTGGGAGGCTGAAGCAGGAGAATCGCTTGAACCAGGGAGTCAGAGGTTGCAGTGAACCAAGATCGCACCACCGCACTCCAGCCTGGCAACAGAGTGAGACTCCGTCTCAAACAAAACAAAACAAAACAAAACAAAAATCTGATTGAATAGTTAGTTGCCTAACCTTGACAAAGCAGGACTTTTTAGACCACACGGAAGACCCAGATGCAATAATGAAAAGAGTGACTTGTTTGATCACATACAAAATTCTGTAAAGTTAAAAAAAGTTATAAATTATGCCAAAGATAAGGAAAAAGAAAATATTGCATCATATATGACAAGCAGAAAGTGAATTTCACCGAAATAAAAGATCTTCTACAAACTGATAAATAAGGCCAGCAGCGGTGGCTCACACCTATAATCCCAGCACTTTGGGAGGCTGAGGCGGGTGGATCATGAGGTCAGGAGATGGAGACCATCCTGGCTAACATGGTGAAACCCCGTCTCTACTAAAAATACAAAAAAATTAGCTGGGCGTGGTGGCGGGCACCTGTAGTCCCAGGTACTTGGGAGGCTGAGGCAGGAGACTGACATGAACCCGGGAGGCGGAGCTTGCAGTGAGCCGAGATGGCACCACTGCCCTCCAGCCTGGGCGACAGAGCAAGACTCTATCTCAAAAAAAAAAAAAAAAAAAAAAAAAAAAAACCCTGATAAATAATCCAACAGGAGATTTCTCTTCATAAGAGAAAATGCAAACCATCAAGGGATAAATGAAAAGAGGATTTGCTTTTCACCCGTCTAATTTGACCCAGCCTTCTTAGTCATTGATGCTGGGAATATGAATTGCTACAACCTCTTCTGGATGATCTGGCATATAAAAAATGTGCATATTATTCTACCCAGTAATTTCTCTTTTAGGAATTCAGACAAAAGAAATAAAAAGCACCAGTACTGTATGAACCAGCAAAGCACTAATTTTTTTCTGAATGATCATCAATAGGAAAATTAATTATGGTTATTTATGTATTAAATAAATTATGTTTCATTACATTTTGTAATATGTTCAGCTATTTAAAAGCATATACTAACTTGAAAACATGTCTGTGGCCTGCTGTTAAGGAAAAAAGGCAAGTTATATAGTAAAGAACTAACATTTTACTTTTGGTTTTGGTTTTGTGTGTGTGTTTGGTTTGTTTCTTTTTGTTGTGGTGGTGGTAAGTGGGGGGGGGTGCACATTTATACATGTACTTAAGTGTATAAGGACATATGTAGAGGAGACACCCAATTATTCATGTTGATCGCCTCAGAGAAGTGGGATGGAAAGGTGGGAAGAGCAGGGAAAAGAACCGTACTTTGGAAAAAGTTAAAATGCCTATAGAGATGTAAATACATACTTTCTCTTTACAAATCTTTATATAATTTAGACCCCCCTCCCTTTTTTTTTTTTTTTTTTTAGATGGACTTTAGCTCTGTCGCCCAGGCTGGAGTGCAGTGGCACGATCCCAGTTCACTGCAACCTCTTTGGTTGTGATTCAAGCCATTCTCCTGCCTCAGCCTCCCAAGTAGATGGGACTACAGGTGCATGCCGCCACACCTGGCTGAATTTTTGTATTTTAGTAGAGACAGGGTTTCACCGTGTTGCCAAAGCTGGTTGTGAACTCCTGAGATCAGGTAATCCACCCGCCTTGGCTTCCCAAAGTGCTGGAATTACAGGTGTGAGCCACTGCGCCTAGCCAATTTAGCTCCCTTTTAAAATTAAAAATGGGCTGGGCATAGTAGCTCACACCTGTGATCCTAACACTGTGGGAGACTGAGGTGGGAGGATCCCTTGAGCCCAGGAGTTCAGGACCAACCTGGGCAACATAGTGAGATCCCCCATCTCTACCAAAAACAAAAACAAAAACAAAAGCTAGGTATGGCAGTGTGCCTGGTTCCCAGCTACTAGGGAGGCTGAGGCAAGAGAACCCTTTAGCCCAGCCCAGGAATTCAAGAATGCAGTGAACTGTGATCACACGACTGCACTCCAGCCTTAGCAACAGAGTGAGATACCATCTCAAATAAATAAATAAATAAATAAATAAATAAATAAATAAATCAGTCTAAATATGGGTCCACTATCCAGAATATACACATTAAAAAAACTTACAACTCATCAACAAAAAGACAACCCCAATTTAAAAATGAGCAAAGAACTTAAACAGCCAAAGAACTGTAAATTGCCAACAAGCACATGAAAAGCTGCTCAAAAGCATCAGTCGTCAGGGAAATGTTAATCAAAACCACAATGAGATGCTACATCATACTCACTAGGAAGGCTACATTTAAAAAAAAAAAAAAAAGGAAAAACAAATGTTGGTGAGGATACGGGGAAACTGGAACCCTCATTAAGCACAGAATTACCACATAACCCAGCAGATCTACTCGTAGGTATTATACCCAAAGAACAGAAAACAGGCACTCAAACAAATGCATGTACACACATGTTCACAGCGGCATTCATTCATAACAGCCAAAAGGTAGAAACAATTCAAACGTTCATCAACTGATGAATTGATAAACCATTGTGATACAGCCATACAATGGAGTATGATTTAGCCATAAAAACGAATGAATAACACGGTAAAACCCCGTCTCTACTAAAAATACAAAAAATTAGCCGGGTGCGGTGGTGGGGGCCTGTAGTCCCAGCTACATGGGAGGCTGAGGCAGGAGAATGGCGTGAACCCGGGAGGCGGAGCTTCCAGTGAGCCGAGATTGGGCCACTGCACTCCAGACTGGGCGACAGAGCGAGACTCTGTCTTAAAAAAAAAAAAAACGAAGTACTGATAGGTGCTCCAAGGTGGATGAAGCTCAGAAACATGCTAAGTGAAGGAAGCCAGAAACAAAAGGTCACGTGTATGATTCCATTTATATGAAATGTCCAGAATAGGTAAACCCATACAGACAGAAAGCGGACTGGTGGTTGCCAAGACCCGGGAGGGAGGGGGAAATGGGCCGTAAGTGCTTCACGGAGTTGGCTGTCCTTCGGAGTGATCGAAATATTTTGGAAATAGCAGAATAGTGCTTGCACAACATTGTAAATTTACTAAACGCCACTGAATTATTCACCTTAAAACGGTCCATATTACATTACGTGAATTTCACTTTAATTACAAAAAGAAAGAGAAACGCTAGCGTTTATGCAGGCAGAGGGCAGGATGGGGACGCTCCTCCCGGGCGGCCTCGTTGCTGGCAGCGCTTCCGCCCCCCGGCGCCCCAGTCAGTACGGCGCCCGGCGAATCTGGAGGGCGAAGCTGCGGTGGAGCAATCACAATAGGACTGTCAGAGAGGAGGCGAGCCGGGAGGAAGATGGAAAGGCGGGTGGCAGCCTCATCTCTGGACTCCACTGCCGCAGCCCGGTCAAGCCGCTCCGCCCAGGCTCAAATCGGACTCCTAACTCCGCTGGGTGCCTGAGACGACGCGGCAGGCGGAGGGGTGGTACTGAGGGGACGGGGACGCGGCGGGCGGGTGGGGCAGCCTCCCGCCTGGGCACGCTTCCACGCCAGACTTGACACGAAGGAAACCGGAACCTCTCTGCCGGGGGTGCCAGTTTCCGGAAGCAGCTTGAGTCTGGACGCCAACGTCGGCGACGCTGGGAAGCAGACTTCCGGCGCCATATAGTTTCACCAGGTATCTGCGGCGAGCTAGCGGCGGCGGCGGCGATGAGACAGAAGCACTACCTTGAGGCTGCAGCGCGGGGACTGCACGACAGCTGCCCGGGCCAAGCCCGCTATCTCCTGTAAGAGGACTGGAGAGGAAGCGGGAGGCGAGCGGGGAGGTGTTCCTTTGCTCCTCACAAGTCTGTTTCTCTTTTACAGTTGGGCCTACACTTCGTCGCACGGTAGGAAGAACGCCTGTCTCTTAGTGCGTTGGGCTCCTGCCCCGCTTTCCTCCGTTCTGCACAACGCTCAAATAAGGACGATGGACTCTCTCCCCTCCTTAAAAACGACAACAAAACAAAACCCGCATGTTTCTGCGTTTCGTGAAAAATCCAGATTCCTTAATGTGCCTGCTTGCTTTGTTAGCGGCATTTGAGACACTGATCAGTCTTGAAATAGTTTCCTGCCTTGGCTTCTAGGTCATCACGTAGTTCACCTCCTCTTTATTTATTACTTCTCGATTTGCTTTGCTGGTTCCTCCTAATCTCCCCAAGCTTTAAGTATTGTCGTATCCCAGTACTCAGCCCTTGGACCTCCTTTCTAGGTACACTCACTTCTTTGGTGACAGTTTTTCATCCAATCTCATGGCTTTTAAATACCATATACCGAGGACTTACAAATGTATATACTCAGCGCAGACCTCTCCTCTGAATTCTAGACTCATATATCCAAATGTCGTGACAAATTCAGTGTCTAGTAATTCAAACTTAGCTAATATGTCCAAAACCTGAGCTTTACCCCCCAACAAGATCCTCCAGTTTTTCTCATTTCAGTAAATAATTCCATCCTTCCCTTACAGTTATTGAGCCCCAAAACCTTGGAGCCATTCTTGACTCCCAAACTCTCTTTCTTCCCCCAAGCCAGTATGCGAGCAAATCCTGTTGGCTTTAAAATGTATCCAGAATCAGCCAGGAGCGGTGGCTCACACTTGTAATCCCAGCACTCTGGGAGGCCGAGGCGGAGGCGGGTGGATTTGAGGCCAGGAGTTCGAGACCAACATGGCGAAACCCCGTCTCTACTAAAAATACAAAAAAATTACCCGGCGTGGTGGTGCACGCCTGTAATCCCAGCTGCTCGGGAGGGTGAGGCATGAGACTCTCTTGAACCTGGGAGGTGGAGGTTGCAGTGAGCAGAGGTGGCGCCAATGCACTCCATTCCTCACCACATCCATTGCTACTACCCTGCTCCAGCCTATCACCAGCTCTCTCCTGGATTATTGCTAACAGCTCCCATGCGTTTCTAGTGTGTTCTCAAGCCAGCAGCATGAGTGATTCTGATAAAAACCAAAGATAGATCATGTCACTTCTCTGCCACAAACTCAAATGGCTTCCCATCTCCCAGTAAAAGTGAAAGTCCTTTAAAAGGATTGTAAGGCCCTACATCATAGGCCCGCATACCTCTCTGACCTACTCTCTCCTTCACACAACTCCAGTCACACTGGGCATCCTTGCTTTTCTGTTTCAGGGCGTTTGCAGCTACTCCTCACTCTGCCTGGGATTCTTGCCTCACATACCTGCTATCATGCTAATCCTCCGTTTCCATCTGGTCTCTATGATATCACTCAATGAAGCTTTCCCTAGCCACCTATTTAAAATTAAAATTACAGTTAACTCCATCAACACTTCTGTTCCCCTTTCGTATCTGCTTTTTTATTCCCAGCACTTAACATTTGATGTTGCTATATTTATTGTATGCCTCAGTGAATTGTCCTTTGTTCACTGCTGTGTCTCCAGCACTCAGAACAGTGCCTGGCATTCTTAATTGTCACTTAGTAAATATGAATGAATTTCACATTTGGCGGAGCTAAATTTAAGTGTGGTCTTTAGCTTCATAAGTGCTGCTATATCCCTGGCACTTAGCACAGTGCTCAATGGTAGATACTATTCATTGTGCTAATTATTTAAAAAAAGAAACAAAATCGCAGTGCAATTTGTTATTTTGTGGTAAATGCACTGGTAAAATTGGTGAAACATAACAGCCTTTTAAAACTTAGTAGCAAGTAATGAGAAGTGGCTAGATTTTGGATATATTTTAAAGCCTACAGGATTTGCTAGCATAGGTTGGAGATTTGCCGGTCTGTTGCTGAAAGGAGTGAATGGATGGAATTATATTTGCAAAGTAAATTACTGCCAATTTGTCTTTTTGTAAATGTTTATATTTTGAGTTTACTTAAAAATGTATATCTGCTTATATTAAATATCAATATACTTTTTATAGTGTTGGCAGTTTGAGGTAACAAAACATTCTAATTTGCTGAATTGTGAGTTTCATTTGTATAATTTTAGATGATAAGAGCACTTTTGAAGAAACGTGTCCATACTGTTTCCAGTTGTTGGTTCTGGATAACTCTCGAGTGCGTCTCAAACCCAAAGCCAAGTTGACACCCAAAATACAGAAACTTCTTAATCGAGAAGCGAGAAACTATACACTCAGTTTTAAAGAAGCGAAAATTGTGAAAAAGTTCAAAGACTCCAAAAGTGTATTGGTAAGATTTCAGTCCAGTATGTATGAGTAAACTAGAATTTTCTTTTCTTTCACTTAAAATCAGTTTAAGAATCAACCTCGGCCGGGCGCGGTGGCTCAAGCCTGTAATCCCAGCACTTTGGGAGGCCGAGACGGGCGGATCACGAGGTCAGGAGATCGAGACCATCCTGGCTAACACGGTGAAACCCCGTCTCTATTAAGAAATACAAAAAACTAGCCGGGCGAGGTGGCGGGCGCCTGTAGTCCCAGCTACTCGGGAGGCTGAGGCCGGAGAATGGCGTAAACCCGGGAGGCGGAGCTTGCAGTGAGCTGAGATCCGGCCACTGCACTCCAGCCTGGGTGACAGAGCGAGACTCCGTCTCAAAAAAAAAAAAAAAAAAAAAAAAAATCAACCTCGATATAACTCAGATTTATAGTAGTATATTTGGATTATCAAAATATATACATAAACTATTTCTCTAATGATTAGTGTTTTATAAGGACAGCTTATTTTTATTTTTCATGATTACCTAAACCAAACATGGTGAGCTCTCAGTTGTTTTGAGATCCCATTGTTGAGCATTATTTTTCACAAACGTGCAGATTTCTTGAACTGACCATTATGACTCCACCTAAATTGCAGTTACCACTACATTATTTTTTCAGTTAATGGTCCTTTGCTTCAAATAGTAGTATGTTATGTATGTAGGTATCATGCCACTTCTTCAGCTGTCCTCCCACTCCATATCAGTGTGTATTTACAGGTATGCCCAACAAAGGTGAATGCGCCTTTTGTTCTTTAAACATTTTATTGAGGGTCTATCATATGCCAAGCAACATTTAATATTGGGGATATAAGATGAAATAAAACAACCAAAATCAGATTACGTATGGTTTACCATACGGAGGCCAGTAGCAAATACACTTTATATCCTGCATATTCTATGTTAACATTTATCAACTGTTCAAGTATGTGCTTATTGTCCAGCACTGTGCCAGGCACTGGACATGATGACAGCTTATGTCTGGCCTAAGACTATAATTAGTAATTACTTGGATTGAAAATTGCCATATTTAGGAGTTTACTAGTGTTGGTCACGTAGGTACATTTTGCTTTGTCATAAAATTGAATGGTTAAAGGGAAAGAAAGAAGAGATAGAATATTGAAGTGAGTATAGAATTCAGTTTCTTAGTTCTTGGAGAATTGTAGTTTTCAAAAATCATTACTGCCACATATTTGGAAAATGTTCTTAAATGGGAAGACAGTAAATGCTGCCTCACTGTCTTGCAGTGTTTTGCCCTCATGAAGCTTACATTCTAATGTACTTTAATCAGAAGTCAGCTAGAAAGGTGCTAGAGGTGTTTTTCTGATTTATTTTAATCTGTATACAGCCTCCTTCCAAAAAGTGTAAAGCAACATAAACCTTTGATAGATGCAGATCTTCCATTGGCATTTTCATCTGCTCATGAACATCAAACTACTTCTCACTTAAATTAGTTTGTATTAATTTGCTGAGGCATGGGCTGAGTCCTGTGCATAGTCAGTTAGATATGTAGAAGAAAGGAAATTAGCTAGAAAATGGACCATTTCTTGAGAAATGAATCTTGAAAAGAAAGTCAACTTCTAGATCTAATGATAGGAGTGAAGAGGTGTGAGAATATAACAACTCGTTTGGTTGTATAAGTTACTTTAGACCTATATTTACAAAATTGCTAAGGATTTGAAGGGGCTACTTAAATTTCCAGTGATACTCTGCCATGCTTTTTTTGAGAAGAGGCTTGAAGTTCATCTGTAAAAAAATAGTAAATGCTTACTGCTGTTACAAAGAACATTCCTCCAGATGTTAAAGAGTATTGTCTCCCATCTCTTCCCTAATTCCCCCCAAACATGGTTTTATATTTAAAAAGTAAAGAGTTCATTATCTTTGAAAATCTATTTTAAATTAAATAAAAATGTTTAGCCATTCATTTTTATTGAACATTTTCTCACTTTAAATTTGTCGGCTGGGCACAGTGACTCAAACCTGTAATCCTAGCACTTTGGGAGGCAGAGGCGGGTGGATTGCCTGAGGTCAGGAGTTCAAGACCAGGCTGGCCAACATGGCAAAACCCTGTCTCTACTAAAAATACAAAATTAGCCAGATGCAGTGGAAGGCACCTGTAGTCCCAGCTGCATGGGAGGCTGAGGCAGGAGGATCGCTTGAACCCGGGATGCAGAGGTTGCAGTGAGCCAAGATGACGCCATTGCACTCCAGCCTGGGGACAGAGCAAGAATCCGTCCCAGAAAAAAAAAAAAAAAAAATTTTGTCTTATTTGATTCTTGCTACTAGATTGCAAGTTCCCTAAGGACAGCCTCTATTTTACTTACCCCTATAGTATCTGGTGTAGTCCCTGACATTTAAGAATTCAATTAACATGTGGTTTATGGGGTTAAATTATGAGATAAATGACGGGACTGATATTTCTTCTTTTTATGGTAGTTGATCACTTGTAAAACATGCAACAGAACAGTGAAACATCATGGTAAAAGTAGAAGCTTTCTATCAGCATTGAAGAGCAATCCTGCCACTCCTACAAGTAAACTCAGCCTGAAGACACCAGAGAGAAGGACTGCAAACCCAAATCCTGACATGTCTGGTTCCAAAGGCAGGAGTCCAGCATCGATTTTCAGGTATCTTTATCCATGAAGTTTTTGAATTGCCAGTGTTAACTCAAGTGTTTTCTTCTAATTTCCTGTGTTTAATATATACTCCCTAAATATGCCATGCATTTCAGAACCTGGCCATTTTTCCTCCATATGCTTTTCTAATGTCACATACTCCCATATCTTCAATGCTCATTTCAATGCATTTGACTTCTACGTATGTTACTCTACTTCCAACATCTCCTGCACCTATTTCCAACTGCCTGCTAAATATATCCACTTCAGTCCCCTACATGTTCAAAACTTAGTTCATCATTTCCCCACAGCTAACCACTCAAACCTGTCCATCCTCCTTAGTTCCTTATTCTGTGAATGAACACACCTTTCTGGACATTTTGACCTAAAATGACAGATACATTCAAAAATCCCTATTCCCTTCATCCTTGTGACTGATTTATATTATACTTTATAATATATATATATTCTACTTCCATGTTTTCATCTTTTTACTCCTTTTTCTCTCTAGTGCTGCTATATTCTGGTTCAGGTCCTTATGCAGCATTTGTCAGGACTACTGCAGTGATTTTCCTAATGGGTCTCCCTGCTTCTAGGATCAAACTCTTTTAGTGTGATCATCTTTCTGGAGCATAGCTCTGATTAGAAGCATCACTGTGTAGCATATGGATCAGTGCTTTCCAGCCCTATCTGGCACCAATCTGTCTGCCTGTCTTTCTTTGCCTTAAATCATCCTATGTGCCAACAAAACTGAACCATTCACGGCTGGGCATGGTGGCTCACACTTGTAATCCCAGCACTTTGGGAGGCCAAGGCGGGTGGATTGCCTGAGCTCAGGAGTTCGAGACCAGCCTGTGCAACACAATGAAATCCCTTGTCTCATGTCTCCTAAAATACAAAAAATTAGCTGGGCATGGCAGCGTGCAACTGTAGTCCCAGCTACTTGGGAAGCTGAGGCAGGAGAATTGCTTGAACCTGGGAGACAGAGGTTGCAGTGAGCTGAGATGGCGCCACTGTACTCCAGCCTGGGCGACACAGCGAGACTCCGTCTCCAAAAAAAAAAAAAAAAAAAAAAAACCGAACCATTCATAGTATACTTTCTTGCCCTAAACATTTGTTCTTGCCCTTTTCTCTGTCAGAAATTCCTGAGAAAATCTTAACAGGCATTTGCCAAATGATAATACACCAATTATATATGCTGATAATACACAGCATATACATTGCCTGTATATGGCCATAAAAAAAAAGAGTAGAAAATGATTGTCATTTGTTGGTATAACTAAGTGTGGGTTTTTTTTTTCAGAACACCTACGTCTGGACAGTCCGTATCTACTTGCTCCTCAAAGAATACAAGCAAAACAAAGAAACACTTCTCTCAACTGAAAAGGTTACTTAGTCAGAATGAGTCCCAAAAGAATCCAAAGGTGGACTTCAGAAATTTCTTATCTTCTCTGAAGGGTGGACTTTGAAAATAAGAAGTGCCTGATGTCAATTCTGAAACTAAAGTAAAACAACTTTTTAAACTTTTAGTTTTTGAATACGTGGAAACTAGATCTGAATGCAAACTTTTCTTGGCATCCTTCAGTGTTTATGGGGAAAGTACCTCATTAGTATGAATACCTGAAACCTGCCTACCTCATAGGACGGCTGTGAGGATCAAAAAATATATGAAAGTTCCTTGTAGATATATATCTATAGATATGTATGTGTATGTATATAAAGATATATGTGTACACTGAGTAGTGGCATTACTATTTTTTCTTCCTTTTGTCAGCAGTTTTTATTTATGTCATTTTCTTTCAAAAGGGAATTGAGATCTTTATGAGAGGGTCTATTCACTCAGAAGGGTTTCTTCCATGTGTCTATAGCGTTACTGATAATTCAGGAAAGGGATCAAGTCCTATTTTCTCACAATTATCTGCATAACTGTTTTAGTAAAACCTGAACCTTATTCCTATTTTGATTGCAAAAGTAAATATCTGGAACATTCCTGATTATAGATCACTCAATAGGAGACTAAAATTTTCTTTCTGTTTAGAAAAGGGAACATACTGTTGGTGATACTATAAATTAGTACAGCAACTTTGGAAAACAGTATGGAGGTTCCTCAAAAAACTAAAGGTAGAATTACCATATGATCCCACATCTGCATATATATCCAAAGGAATTGAAATCAGTAGTCGAAGAGATGTCTGCCCTACAGTATTTCATTGTAGCATTATTCACAATAACCAAGATACGGAAACAACAGAAATGCTTGTCAAAGCATGGATTTTTGTAAATGTGTATATACACAATGGAATACTATTCAGCCTTTAAAAAGCAAGAAATTCTGTCAGTTGTGATAACATGGATGAACCTGGCGGACATTATGCTAAGTGAAATAAGCCAGACACAGAGACAAATACTGTATTATTTACATGGGATCTAAAAAAGTAGAGCTCATAGAAGTAGAGGACATAATGGTGATTACTGGAGGCTGTGGCTGGGGGTGGGGGGAGTAGAAAGGGAAAGGGAAATTTCAATTAAGAGGAGTAAGTTCCAGTGATCTATTGTACAGCATGATGACTATAGTTAATGTATATTTCAAAATAGCTGAAAGAGGGTTTTGGCTTTTTTTTTTTTCTTTAGAGTCTTGCTCTGTCATCTGGGCTAGAGTGCTGTAGCATGATTATAGATCACTGTAGCCTTGAACTCCTGGGCTCAAGTGATCTGTTGCCTCAGCCTCCAGAATAGCTGGGACTACAGGCACACACCACTGCACCTGGCTAATATTTCATTTTAAATTTTTTCATTTCCTACTACAAGAAGCCATAATTATTTATTTTTTGTAGAGGCAGGATCTTACTATGTTGCCCAGGCTCATCTTGAATTCCTGGCTTCCAGCAATCCTCCCAACTCACTCTCCCAAAGTGCTACAATTACAGGCGTGAGCCACAGTGCCCAGCCAAAAGAGGATTTTTTAATGTTCTCGCCACAAAGAAATGATAAACGTTTGAGGTGATGGATCTATTAATTAGCCTCATTGGATTACACCAGTGTATACATGTAATGAAACACATTGTGTCACATAAATATATACAATTATTTGTCTTTTTTTTTGAGATGTAGTCTCACTTTGTTGCCTGGGCTGGAATGCAGTGGTATGATCTTGGCTCACTGCAGCCTCCGTCTCCTGGGTTCAAGCGATTCTCCTGCCTCAGCCTCCTGAGTAGCTGGGATTACAGGCGCCCGCCACTACGCCCAGCTAATCTTTTGTATTTTTAGTAGAGACGGGGTTTCACCATGTTGGCCAGGCTGGTTGTGAACTCCTGACCTAGTGATTCACCCACCTCAGCCTCCCAAAGTGCTGGGATTACAGGTATGAGCCACCGTGCCTGGCCTACAATTATTATTTGTCAATTAAAAATATACTCAAAGGCCAAGGTTAACCACTTGGTTTTATAGTTGCATGAAATAAAATTGTGCTAACTGGTGCCAGCACCAAAAGACCAGGTATTCACTTTGTGTCCACAGCATCTGGCACAACACAATGGTTATGGTAGCTGCTTTACCTTTCTGGCTCACTTCTCTCTAGAACATCTGTTTCTCTTGAACTCTTCTTGCTCCTGATCACCTGGTCATAGCGAGCTCTTTGCAGTTCTCAATACATACGATGTACTTGTCAGCTTCGGGCCTCTGCATGTGCTTTTTCCTTTAGGACTACTTTGGAGACTGCCCTCTACCTCAACCCCACTGCATTATGAGGGGCCACTTTTTTTCCCACAGTTCTGGTGACCCTGTAGTGTCTTGTTTCTGATCATTACCAACTGCCTGTGAGCTCTTTGTAGACCTGAGTGGTCTCATGTGTACCCCCAGTACTTAATTTGTTGTCCAGCACACAGCACAAGCTCTGCAGATTCCTAGACTACTACATTTAATGAGTTCTACTTGTTCCACACTAAGAACTAAGGTCCTTTCTGAGCACATGATTGGAAAGTAGATAAAAAGTAGTAAAGACAGGGACTCTTTGGTGGGAAGTTGTTCGCATTACTTCATTTGCAAGTGAGGGACACCATGGATTCTTGACTTTTCTATTTGGCAGAAAGGTCTTTGGGCATTTCTAAAGAATATTTGAAAACTGAAGTGTGGATATAAAACTATAAAACCTTTAGAAGGAAGATACAGGAGTAAATCTTCATAACCCTGTACTATGTAGTGGTTTCTTAGGTATGACATCAAAAGCACAAGCAACAACAAGAAAAACAGATAAACTGGACTTCATAAAAATTAAAGACTTGTGTGCTTTGTTCAAAGGACACCAGCAAGAAAGTGAAAAGTCAGCCCCCGAGTGGGAGAATATTTGCAAATCATATGCAAATGACCTCCAACTTACGATGGTTCAACTTGAGATTTTTTTTTTTTTTTTTTTTGAGACAGAGTCTTGCTCTGTCGCTAGGCTGGAGTGCAGTGGCGCAGTCTCGGCTCACTGCAACCCCACTTGAATCACTGGGTTCAAGTGATTCTCCTGCCTCTGCCTCCCGAATAGCTGGGACTAAAGGCACATGCCACCACGCCCAGCTAATTTTTGTATTTTTAGTAGAAACAGTGTTTCACCATGTTGGCCAGGATGGTCTTGATCTGCCCAACTCAGACTCCCAAAGTCCTGGGATTACAGGCGTGAGCCACTGTGCCCAGCCTCAACTTGAGATTTTTTAACTTTATGATGGGTTTACCAGGACATAACCCACCCTAAATTGAGAAGCATTTGTATCTGACAAGGGACCTATATCCAGAATTATAGAGAACTCTTAAATTTCAATAATAAAAAGACAAAAGATGGTCAGAATCTGAACACAGCTCTCCAACATGGCTAATGAATACATGAAAAGATACTTCATACCTAGGCTGACTCACAGACACAGTACAAGTGGTGAAGATGTAAAGAAACTGGAACCATCACACGTTGCTCCTAGGATTGTAAGATGGTGGAGTCACTTTAGAAGTTTGGCAGTTCCTCAAAAATTTAAACAGAGTTACCATATGACCCGACAATTCCACTCAGGCATATACCCAAGAGAACTGAAAACAGATGTCCACACAAAAACCGGTATATGAATGTTCATGACAGTAGTGTTTATAATATGCATAAAATGGAAAATTCAAAATAGCGAAAAGAGTGTTTTTTGAATGTCCAGCAACTGCTGAATAAACAAAATGTGGTTTTTCCATACAGTGGAATAGTAATGTTCAGTCAAAAAAAATTACTGATATATGCTAGAACATGAATGACCCTTGAAAACATTGTATTAATTGCAAGAAGCCAGACACCAAAGACCACATATTGCGTGATTCCATTTATATGGAATGTTCAGAATAGGACAATACACAGAAATAGACAAGTGGTTGCCAGAGGGATAGGGAGAATGGGGAGCAACTCCTAATGAGTGTGGGGTTTCTTTTTAGGGTGATAAAAATATTCTGGAATTAGATAGTAACCATGGTTGTACAACTCTGACTATCCTAAAAACACAATTCTACACATTGAAGAGGTAAATTTTATGTGAATTATCTATCCTTAAAAAAAAAATTACCTAAAATTTAATGTAGACATTAAGTTTTAAATCCTGTAAAGAGAAGCAGCAGAGATACAACATAGGCTCAGACTTTGAGCAGCTCTAATTTCATGGCTTTCCTGGGCCTCCACCATATTGCCATAGGGCCTGTCACATGCTTATGCATCCTACTGGCTACAGCAGTGCATCCTGAAGACAGCTCAAAATAGCCGTGGGCTACTTTTCTAGTCATGGGCTGTGGAGCCTGGAACATGTGACCAGAGTACCACTGACCCTGTGGACCAGCAAGCGTAAGTTAAAGGTAGCCATCATGAGGATGAAAAGGAGATCCTCACCAGCCAGAAAGGGATGTAAGCAGAACCCTACTGGAGAGAAAAGCCAACAGGAATGATTGGGAAAATGGCAAGAGGGGACAAAAACTGGTGTGCCTTGTTGGTGATACAAAGAACTCTGGGATGACAGAGTTGATGACAATCTGGAGGCCAAAATCGTCTTTGACATACCCTAGTTCTAAAGTGGACACTATTCTCCCCCTTAGCACAGCCCTTTGGGGCTTTTACACAATGGTGACTTTTACTTTGATCCCTACTCAGATTTTAGAACTCCCAAGTAATGTTCCCAAATGGATCATATTGAAGAGGAGCAGTACCAGTGAATTAACTGGGTCTCAAAATACAATTGCACATTTCAGACGTTGCCTTAAAGTTGTGTCCTCTCATTTGCTCATTCCTCTTCAGTTATAATAGGCAGTCTTCCTCTTATTCACCAGGGGATTCCGTCCCTCTGATTCAGGACCATGGTATATGGAATCGCCCTGCCTTCTCATCTTCAGCCTCTTGCTGTATGGGATCCATCCTCTTAGCACTTTTTTTCTCTAAGTAAACTATTTATTGCTGTATAACACAGAGAAACACTCATAGCTCTGATCACAAATCTGAGTCAGATGCCTCCTGAAGAATGGACTTCTGAGGAGCACCGTACTCACCCTGGCACAGCTCTCACACAGGAGTTTGCTGAGAGTCTCCTGCCTGTGTGCCTCCCAGTATGTGAGCTCTGTGAGGGCCGTAACCCCAAGGTATAAGTAACTCAGCTAGAACATGTGCAATACACTTCTCTCTGTACTGACGTTAAACTTACAATGAAATAGTTTTCAGAATAAAAATAAATTTGTATATATTAGTTAT